ACTTACAGCAACATTAGCCAGTGCAATAAGGCAAATTAGACATTGCAAAATTTAATAGCCAGTGCACATTAGCCAGTGCAAAAAATTTGGGAAGGGGGGAGGTGGGGGGGGGGGGTTGTGTGTTCCTTGTAAACCTCCCGCCCCCCTCGGTTCCTACGGGCTACGCCCCTGACCAAAATAGTGTGTTATAATGCATTTTGCGCTTGGAAAATAGATCACATCATGGGTAATTTTTATTGGCATTCTCAAAATCGTACCTGTCCACAGCAATGCTCATTTCTTTCGCTCTCCATATCGTACACAATATTTGCAGCCATTTCTATGCCACACACGGTCAAAATATGTGTTAATTGTCTTTCGCTTTCTTCATTTTTTCCAAGATACGGCGAAACAGCCGCGGCAGACATTGCCATAGCTGACGATAGTTTAATATCGCTCGGTTTCAGTTTGTTTCCGAAATCATGGTCGTCTTCTACCTGTACCACAGTTGTTGGCTGCTTCACTATCACAGACATACCTGGAGGAATCATTTGTATTATCAGACCCGAGTATACAACATTAACTACTATATTTAAAACACGAACAGAAATGCTTTATCAGATATAAAACACGAAAGCGCAGCGCGAGTGTTTTATATCTGATAAAGCACTGTGCTTCTTGTTTCAAATTGTTGACAAGTCTAAAACAATAATAATGATTTTATTACAGTATTTCCACGTGAGTGGCTCTTCATCTGTAAAAAAAATACTATACTACACTTGTTATAAAATAGAAAGGTTCTATAAGTTATTAACATGCTAAAAATTCAGAGACGCGGAACTGGGGGACAGGAGGGGCAGCCGCACCCGTTGCCCTTTACCAGGAGGGGCAAGGGCGGCAAAGGTGCCCTCTCAATTTAAAGGATTGCCTTTCAGAAATAGCGAATTGTCAGAAATGTTAGTGCAATTCTTTTACGAATTTGCAAGAAATGCGGTCATCGAGCTTCAAGAATAGCACAATCGCCTGGCGGAGAATCCCCTCACACTCCTATCATCCAATAAATAGAAAACATGATTAAGCAAAGTTCAACTCCCGATGTTTTGCAAACATCTCTTAGTATATATCAATTCAAAAGTGCCCTTTCACAAAAATCTGCCCCCCTTGCCTTCACATCTTTCCGGCGTCCCTGGCTAAAATTCAAATTCAAATAATTCTTAATTATTAAATTATTCCCTATTTAATCTTTCGTTTGCCACTTCAAAATAGTGTGCTTTAGCAGTTCGCTTAAAATCATTAAAAACACAACAGTTTCTAATTTCTAGGGGTAAAACATTAAAAATTTTTGCAGCACTGGCTTGAAGAGTGTCATTTTCAAGGGGCACAGTGAGTTTGGTTTCTGAGGAACAATCATCATCCCACCGGGCACACGACGTTGTTTCAACGTTGAAATTTGGTAGAAAAAAGGTTGCGACGTCGACGACCTAATATCTACGTTGCTCTGACGTTGTTTTACAAACATTGGTTCAACAGCAGCCAACAGACGTTGAATTAACGTTCATTCATGGTTAAATGTACGACGTCGATTTGTGAACCAATCTCAACGTTGTCTAACGTGGATTAAACGTTGAATTATGGTTGACGAGATTGGCAACCTAATTTCAACGTTCTTTCAACGTCGAAACAGTAACGTCGATCCAATTTGCATAGTCAACCCTTTTTCAACGTCCATCCAACGTCTGGAAGGTCATTTCCAACGTTGATTCAACGTTGCATAAACGTCATTTTGCCCGCTGGGATCTTGTATTATCATCTTGTAACAAGGTTAATGAGGCCAACAGACTTACAGCAAGCTGTTTCAACAAGGAGTAACAAGTCTGTACGTAATAAGTTGTTAACAAGAGGGTCCTGAAGGGGTAAAATGGGAATTGGGATTGACCTATTTTTGGACTGGGAAAATGGGATTTGGGTTGCTGGGACTGGGATTTGGCCACTGGGAATGGGAAATGAAGTCCTCAAAAATGGGAATGGGATTGAGGAAATGTGAATCGATTCCCAATTTTTCCACGTTTTAAGTATTTTAAAATACAATTTTGATCTGTTTTTGGTGTCTTTGGTCATGATTTTTGTTGTTAACTATATTATTCACAGCACTAACTGCGAACAGGCATACTCTGGCGCCCGGAATTCTTGGTTTTATGATTATGCGCGTCTCAGAATGCTGCAAATGCCATTTCCGGGATTCAAATTTAAAAATTTTCCGTGCCTTCAGCACGACCCTCCCCCCGGTGGCTTAAAAAGTCTCAAAACTGTTTATTCTACCGATAAATAAAGGGTTTTTTATTGACTGTGATTTCAATAACTCGAACTGGGATTTCTAGTAAAAATTCAACTGGGACTGGGATTTTGCCAAAATTTCAGGTGGGAAATGGGATTGGGACCCCCCCTTCAGGACCCTCTAACAAGTTGATGACAACTAACCTGCTCGCTGGGCTAGTGACAACAAGCTCGTAGCAACTTAATTGTTGCGAACTGTCTGTATTAGTCTTGTTGCAAGTCTGTCACTGTTGTCAACCTTGTAACAAGGTGATAACAACTTATTCCAGACTTGTCACAACAACTGGGAATAAGCAGTGTTAATGTACGAGTCAAATCCAACCGCGATCAGGCCCCCCCGGGCAACCCCCAGGGAATTTGACTTTTGAAAATATAATTGGTCAAATGCCCGGCCGGACAGGCAGAAACCACAGTCAAATGCCCTGTTATAGGGGTAGTCCTGTTTCTGGAATTTTGACTAAAATTAAATTTAACAAGTATTTCAAGATTAAAAAGAACGAAAAATAGGCCAGACATAGGCCGGGCATATTGTATCATATATCTATGATTCATATTTGTGATTCAGAAGCAATTTTCAAACTATCGAAAAGACGCAAAATAGAAAACTCGTAAAGCGCTAGAATGTACACATATTTTTAGGGAAAACTGCTGAGCAAGTTGTTGTCAAGTGGTCAAATGCCCGGCCGGGCCGTCAAATTCCCGACCGGGCTGTCAAATTCCCGCCTATACGGGGGTAATGTTAAGTCAAATGCCCTGGGGGTTGCCCGGGGGGGGGGAGCTGATCGCGGTTGGATTTGACTCGTACATAACACATCGTGATATCAGTTTGATAACTCGCTTGTTATAATTTGCGTTTGTTCTCAGACACTGCTTAAAGACATTAAACTCTACCAACCTCGAGGGCTCATAGTGAGCAGAGAGTATTTTCGCTCGTATTCTCTGTGCCATCCATTCACTACCACACTACTTATATACTGGGGTTTTACATTTTTCAAGTCTGCCAACGTCAATGCTCGGCTTCTGTTGCCATTCGTTTGGTTGTGGGTGTGGCCTGGGTTGTCCTGAGGCGGACACCTGCAAGACAGGCAACACCCTTGTGGACAGTGGCCTCCAGGGAAAATATCGTAGCAATAACAACACTGTTCTTCTTTATCAGTATAGAAGGCTTTCTGCAGTCTCCATCTGAAAAGAAGAACCGGAAAATCGAGAGAGCATTACTCATTTTTAGAGATTAATCATTTATCCTCATGACTATACAATATATAAGCTCTCTGCACATATGACATCATAAATATACCAAATCAGCAAGCGACTGGATGGCATGGGCCTAGACCTTAGGCCTGCTATTTTTAATTCAACGCTTCTTCACATGAGAAAAATGGGACTCATTTCTGCATGTGACGTCATACCGAACTAACACTTGTTTATCAAATACCAACCTGTTATATATGTGAACCAAACGAAGTGGAAAATCGCCAAGAACCGAGAACACTCCTAATACGACCAAAGACCCAATCATACCGTTTCGGAATCTTTTCTCTGTATATTTTACAGTGAACAAATCCCCCTTGTAAACGTGCCAGTAGACCACAAAAGAGTAAGCATAGATCAAAATAACTAGCGAGGAATATTTGCGCAAAAGTGGAACGAAAAACCAGAAAACGGCTGTGAAGGCAACAATGGCAATTCTTATAACAAGATCTGTGTATTGCAAATAGTCGTTGATAAACCACGGGAAGAACGTGAAAGCGAAAGTAGCACCAGAAAAGAACTGACCTAATTTTAAGACCACTTTTGGCGCCTTCATCTTCAAATAATTTTTATTATCCCTGGAACCATCAAAACAATATTCAAGCAAATGAAATGCAATAAAAATAACAAATGAAACAAAAAAAAGGTATGTGCGTTCTCGACAATCAATGCCACCAGCATTTGTTCTGCACAGTTTACCATCAAGAAAATGACCATACAAAAGGTTCACGACGAAAGCAATTGGACAAGCAAAAGAGCCCCAGCCAACAATTGGAAATATTATTGCGACAAACAGTAGTAAAGAGACTAAAACACAAGAATCAACAATACCCTGAAACCAATCTTGCCAATTGCAAAAATGGCCTGTGCGTGCCCTCATATGGTCAAAGAACGCGTCTGTCCAGCCGGGTTGGGTTCCTTTATGGTATTTCCACTGGACATAAGCACTGCCTGTGTACCCACCACCTGACACGCAGCTCAAGAAATCAGGCTCTTTCTTTTTTGTAATGAGCCTGCGCAGAACTCCTGAACAAAAGGCCGCTGACCGAATGCCACCACCGGAAAAAGCCACACCAAACTCTTTTTTTTTACCAGCCATTATAGTAAATGAAAATTGAGATAGCAGTCTATATAACACAAGCAGAAAAAAATTTTAGAGGGTCTAATTGGTTTAGGTAGTCATAATAAAATATTTTAAATTCGAAAATAAGTACATCAAGTTATCAGTCAATAAAACCATAATATTATTCTTTAAATCGAAGTCAAGACACAAAATTTGGGGCCTGACACTCCTTGTACTGTGTGATGATATACATCATAAAAATGAAGAGACCATGCTGAACATGTAGAGTCTGAAGGGCATTAAAATGTGTATGTCAAAGTGTCCAGCTGTTCAATTATTATTTGAGATTCAGCCATGATAGAACTGTTTAAACTGTTATGTGTAGCAGCATATTTTGTCTTCTGTGTAAAGCAAAATATAAAAAGATAAATATAAACGAATATATATATTTTCTAATCTAAACGAGTCTCAACTACATGTTATAGTTCGACGGCAATTTATTTCAGAGGCCAACGCGTCATTTGGATCATTGGATGCGCAGTGAAAATTGGAGATTGGCTTATTCGATTTTCACAAATTAATCATTACTAAAATTTCAGTCAGGCCCGTAGCTGAGGGGGGGGGGGGGATTGTACATTAATATTACT